CAGCGGTGTAAGAGACACTGACTGACAACCCTCCTCCCCCACACGCCCAACGGCCCAAAACGAGAAGGACAAGCGAATCGAGAAAGGGCTGGATGAAATGAGAAACCAGACGCTGACATTCCATGACAGGGGGAAAAAAAAGTGTGATACATTCCTTCGGTGCGCTGTCCCCGCGTCCACGCGAGCACGTGCTGCACCTGGCTGCCGTGCGACGACCAAGGTGGTTGAGGGCCTCAAAAAATGACGGGGGAAGCGTTTTCTGACTCCCACGTTGCCAGAGAACCCAGCAAACAGGAATCTGGAATAGGTAGCTGAGACGGCAGGCAGCGTTGTGTACGTGGCCCATGATAGGTTATGTAGCTGCAGGTTTGCGCGGTAGGTCTCATAGAAGCTTGAGGAACGGAGTGTGATTCGCGAAATCGTGAGTATCGTTCCCAGGAAGCACACATGCAGCCAGACGGGATTATTCGACATGCCAGGTGACTTCTTCACCCTTGGAAGACGCAGAGGCAGACAAGTCCTCACCGAGCCGTAGGTTGGCATAACCCCGCGCAGGACTCAGTAAGCCGGTAGGGTTCGTCCAAGTCGGTATTTCGAGGTATGAATACGCCACAAAACCGGCCGCGCGAGAGCGAGCTCATGCGGATGGCGAGATGTCTTGTAATGCCGCCGCCGTGCACCGCGCGTCAAGCCGGCATCGCCGCCTTCGGGAGGGAGGGGCATTGTGTCTGGCCCCGCCGGACATGGACCCCCGAACCGTCAACCAGCTCTTGTTCTCGGTGGCTGTCTCATTTGTCAGGATGGACTCGGAAGTCGGCCAAAAGAAGGTTGCGTGGTTGGTGGTCCTATATCTTGGGGACTGCTATTGCAGGCCCTACCCCTGCCAGGCTTGTCCCCCGCCTGGGATTCAGGGTATCTCGAAATTTCGCTCTCGCCGCTGAAACGGATCTCGACTCGAGTTGAACTTTTTTCGAAAACGTCGTTCGAGGCTCTTGCAGTCGCGACGTGAGGTGAGTGGGGGATGGAGAAATTCGAGGTTTGATCGCACTTCTGTTTCCCGGGATGTACACTACACCGTGCAGCATCTCAGTGGGCATCTGGATGTTCGCTCCTCGACGCACAGCGTTGCAGCCAAGGCTTGAGATACGAATATCTATAGACTATCGTCCAAGCACAGCCAAATAAGGAGGCAAACAAAACACCAAAGAAACATGGCAGAGAAGAACGACTTACACGACGTGGGGCAGAAATGGGCCTGTTGGCATATCTCTCTGCCAAGAGCAGCAGCAACAATGATGACGAGATTCAGATAATGCGACGAACCAACGCAAAGCTGCCTGCAGCGGCCAGAGTTCGTCTCTCCACAAGCCCCATGAGCCAAAGTTCGAGCTCTAGCTTCTAGCCAGCACAAGCTCCACGCCGAGATGCAAACGTAGAGCTTTGGGTGGCCGAGCCACGATAGTGTTCGCGGCCAAATCGTACGTACTTTGCGGGAGCTGTCAAATCAGCTCAAGGCTGAGAGGTACCACGACGGGTAAAGAGAATGCAACATCGCTAGTAGCGGGGCCAGAGAATTGGGTTTTTGGTCAAGAAGAGCCATCAACGGCCCCTCTTTCGGATGCAAGCCAGAATGTCACCGCCGCGCAGCATGCATCAGAGGTTGATAGTGTACACTATGTACGGATATATTGATAAGCTGGTCGAGTGGAGTCATGTTTCTCTGCCTTCTCGCCGAGGTAGGCGAGGACGGCACGGGAGCTAATCTACAGGTTCGGGCCCTGTTCCTGGAGTTTGCGCTGGACAATGGTGGCGGTGATGGCTTCGTCACGGGTCGAGAGGCCACGCCTAGCCAATGACGATTGATTCAAGGTCGCTTTGTTAGGTTGTTCGAGAAAAAGCTCGGCAACCTTAAAAAATTGAGAGAGCCTGGAGCCACAAAGGCCTCGGGAGGGCCCCGTATTGGAACTGAGCCTCGTGGTGCGTGATTCGGCGCCGACGACCGGAAAGTGGTTGTTGGACCCGGGCGTTGGTGGCCCGGTTGGTTGGCAGTTGGGCGGTGTTGGACGAATTGTGGAAGAGAAGAAGAAAAGAGACGGGAGGATGTTTCTAAAATTAGCTGGGAGAGACACACATAGAGAAAAAGAGGGTTCCATTCCGCCTCATCGGCTGGTGCTAGTGGGAATTGGGAAAAAGACGGGTTGGGGCCCTTGGGGGGTGAAGGGAAGCGGGTCCAACTTCTAAGTGGGCGATCTGGCGAAGCCCGACAAGATGACCAGCCACCATCATTAATACCACCTCACCCAGCCCAGCCAGCCAGCCAGCCTAGCCTAGCTCAAGTTCGATAGCCGGTTGTTACAAAGCACGTCCCGTGGGGCTGAGCTGACTACGAACATCCGTATAGGGGGCCATCGAAATGCCCATGATGCTGGACCGGCTGGCTGTATTCGTAAATGCGCAGTACTCACGTAGAGTATGGAAAAGAGAAGAGAATTCGGAACGTGGGCATCAAATAATCCGGTGCCAAGTGCTGCAGCGCGAGGTGTTACAAAATTACACTAGGCCACTTTTGTGCTGCCGTAATTCTCTTTCTCTCTCTCCCGCACTCAGTCGTGAGAAGGAGGAGCAAGAGGAAACAGAGCTGAGCCTCCGCAGGATGACGAACCCCTGGACCACTTTAATTGCGTGGACGGATGGATCCCAACTAGTAAGCTTGGGACGTGTCAGACAGCGAGACGGGCTGCCGATCAAGGCCAATCGTTGATGTAGATGCAACTCTGATGAGCACATTGAACCTGTTGGACTTGTTTTGTTTCTTGCTCCAGTCGCCTCTAGTCTACGGAGTAACTTATCCCTCAAGCAACACACCAGCGATCGGCTGTTCCCAAGGATGGTGATATCAGACAGGGACCACTCATTCCCATGATTCTCCATGGGATTTGGGAGGTTGGCTGGCCGGGGGTTCATGTTTCTCCAAACTTTGTGATGCTCTGTATACGGCTGTATACAGTGATCACAGTGTGCGATGATGATGCTTGATGCGCCGTTCCATCTCATCTTTTCCGAACTTCCACGAGTCCGACCGGCCACGAAAAGCCAAGGACGAATGAGAGGTTCGAGGCGATGGACGCGTACGACGGGATGAGAGAAGCAAAGCACACAAAGTGGAAACGTTCCAACTTCCGGAGACCTTTCGCCATTCGGGAATAATAATCAGTCACACAGATATCGGCTTTACCATACCGTCCTCACCTGAGCCTTTGAGGTAGTTTATCTTCTTCGGGTCTAGGTAGGTATCTCTCTACAATAGCATATTCTAAGCTCAGCTCCATGGTTTCTTGGCCCGGCTCTTGGCCCGGTTCTACGTTCAATCAACCTGCGGCGGCTTTGCTGTACGGTGAGATTGGACTTGATACTTCCTAGTCCGAATGAAAGTCGTCCCAAACCCAGCTCATAGACTGGCCGGCATCACATCCCGTACTTCCAATGATGACGATTGGCCTGCATATGGTCCGAAACATCTCGAGTCTGCAAATCTTTTGGAGAGATCATTGACGATTCGAAAGGTATCAAGGTGAGTCTCTTGAAAGTTGAAGCAGTCTGGTGAAGCTGAAGTAGCAGGATCTCGAGGGAACAAGATCCCGGGCTCGACAGGTTGAGGTGAGCAAGGTTTGACGCCAGTGTCAGAAGGTACCCGTGCGCAGGCAGCATAGGTAGCCAGAGAGGTACTCGCCTGTGGCGTCACCGCGGTACCTGCCCACGCTGCCCTACGGATGGACATCCCTGTCAGGCTGTCAGCATCTATCCGTACCTTTATTCCTAATTCCAGGCCTTCCCCATCTTGTTCCCCGGCTGGCTTCATTGTCTGTGTCCTGACAGACAGAATAGAGTAGGACAGCTTCTGGAGCGGACACACAGCAGTGTTTGGAAGGTGCTGCATCGGTCATTTCCATCGTCAAAGGCCAAGACGGCAAGTTTGAATGCGTGAATGCCTCGCGGACATGTGCGGACATGGATGATGATTCGAGAGTCGCGTTCGATACAGTGTTTTCGCACGGCATGTGGGAGGAAGAGGTCGAAAAAAAACACCACCACCAGGACCACCACACGTAAAGAAGAGAGGCTCGGAGAAAGAGTGGAGGAGGGAGCCACAGCACAGCAGCATAGAATAGCAGCGCTCCCGCACCTCGTTGGTTTACGGTTCGGCTCCCGTCTGCTATTTGGCAGCCTGGGGTCTGGCTGTCCTGTCGACGCCGTTGCTCGGTCGAGGGATTCTCCAGGGTCATGGGTGTTCCTAGTAAAGCCGGGGGCTGAGTCGTGGCCCGCTACTGTGCAGCTCTTTTGCCTTACATGAAGACTCCAGGAGTGAACACTGAATACTGTAGTAGATGCCTTACCTAAGCATTTGCTGCCCTGCTTCGTAGTGCGTAGCCGTCCCATCTCCACCAAAAAAAAGCCGGTGCTGTGTTCACTGTTCGCGACTTCGCGGTACTGCGCCACGTCCGCGTCCCTGTCCATGTTCCGCTTCCCACGGTGCCCACTCACTGCCCACTGCCCCCCCCCCCCAAAGCAAAGCAAAGTGCAAGTGCCCCAACCTGCCCGCCCTGCGCCTTCCTTGCCGTACTGTGCCTTACGCAAAAATACGTAACGGCACTTCCAAGCCTGCACCTGCGCTCCTGCTCCCTCTTCCTACGGTTTTATAAACATCAACGCTCGTCCGTCTGTGTCAGCCTCTTACTTCTTACACTCATCACACTCACATCCGTTTGCCTCTCTCCCGCATACACACTACTCTCAAAAAGGGCTTCCCATCTTCCCTTTTCTTCCTCTCTTCCCCTCTACACACACATTTCCCACCTACCAACGATCGTTGCTTTCCTAGTTACACTCGTTGACGACAAGTCGACGACCCACTTACCGAAATCGGCCTATCTGCAAACACATCAACTTTAAACTCTTTTACACCAGTCTTCAACAACCACAACCACACAACAACAGCAAAGATGGGTGTCGGCCGTGTTATCTGCGTGGCTCTGCCATTCATCCTCAGCGTCGGTTCCATGATCTTCTTGTTGGTCGCTGCCCTCGGCGGTGTTTCCAACAAGGATCTTTACATGTTCCGCGTCAACCTCACCGATCTCGAGATCAACCCTGCTTCCGTATCAAGTATAGTCTCAAGGGACGTCAAGGCAGTCAACTTTGGAAAGTACCACGACCGCGCTCTTCTCACCGGCGATGGTGACAATGCCATCACCAAGGCTGCCACCGACTCCACCACTCAGACCAGCAACATCACCGCTGCCGACCTTGGTCTCGACAACCTTTACGACATCGCTCTCTGGGGTTACTGCACCACTGACACCAACGGCGACAAGACCTGCACCAAGGCCAAGTTTGACTGGGCTTCATCTTACCTGAACACCTCCACCCTCGAGACCATTGGCACCGCTGCCGGCCGCAAGATCGAGCTTCCTGATGAGGTCACCACCGCTCTCTCCGCCTTCAAGACCGCCACCAAGTGGACTCAGGTTGCCTACATCATCGCCTTCATCGCCCTGGGTCTCGAGATCGTCTTCGGCATCTTCGCCAACTGCACTCGCGTCATGTCCTGCATCACCTTCCTCGTCGCCTCTCTCGCTTCCGTCGCCGTCTGCGCTTCCGCCGCTCTCTCCACTGCCATGTCTGTCATCGTCGTTGGCGCCGTTGAGGGTACTGCCAAGTACTATGGTGTCTCTGCCGGCTTCAACAACAGCTTCCTTGCTCTCATCTGGATCTCTGCCGCTCTCGCTCTTGGTGCCGGCTTCTTCTGGATGTTCACCATCTGCTGCTGCGCTCCTAGCCACACCCGCAAGGACCGCAAGCGCAACAGCGACGGCGAGAAGCTTCTTCCCCAGTCCAGCAGCTACCAGCCCATCCACGAGGAGAACGGCTACTACAAGCAGCAGCAGGCTACCCAGTACGGTGCTCCCCGCTATGCCAGCGGTGCCCGTGGTGACACCGCTTACGAGCCTTACTCCCACCGCTCTTAAGTTGAGCATTTGAGAGTTCGCGGTGTGGTAATCTTTTGCACGAGGGAAGCCGTTTGATTTGGCAGCACTTTTGATTTCAGCATTGTTGGCGTTGGGTAACGGCTCACTATCATGAGAACGACGGACACGCACGGAGGTGGATATGAATGTTTAGTAGCTTTGGGACGAAGATGATCGTCAGGGGGGATGACGACAATTGATTGCTTTAGTGGACTGCTCGGGATTGGAGATACCCCCATCCAGGCTTTATTGTCTATAGAATTCAAACATGCTCATAGAGCTATTACAAAAAAAACATCATAGAGTTTTACGAATTTTCTGTCCTAGGCAAAGTGAAATGTGTAGGTTTCATATGAGAGAGCAGTCCTACCATTGAATCGTGACTTGCATCTGAGATGGTGGGCAAATCTCAAACAACGTGCAATTTGGGGTGTATTGACACTGTCAAAGGAACACCTCGAAATTTCTCAAAGAAAAAACCACCGAAATGAAAAAAAAACTCCACCAAAATCAGCAGAGGGGTGGGCGATGACTCGATCCACCACATTACATCCTATCCTAACCACCATCAAGTGCTGACCGGAGGAAGGGCCTTTAATGCAACCAGCTCAGCTCAGCCGCAAAAGACTGGCATCATGCTCCTGGGACCTTAGGCAACCACCATTCACAAGAAACGCACTGCATCAAACATCTCGCTCTTCTAAACGCTAGGACAACCCCTCTTGTGAGACTTTTTCCCCCCGTCTTAGCCAAGTGAAAATACACAGAGTCAGATATTACCCGACTTGGGCAGGCCAGTTTTTGAACGGCTGCCCGCTCCTCTCCTCATGAACCGTCACCATGCAGTTAGTAACCCAAGCCCCCCTAAACTCTTAAAATAGTATTCACATATTGTCCTTTTCTCATAAAGGTAGAGGGGGAGTGAGAAATATGCATCTTACGCTAACGAACGGAAACAGCAATTCGTAGCTGGACCCCTGCAGAGGGATCACTACTTCACCCCCGTCACCAGCCTCAGCTTCTTCAACGCCCGGGATGGCGAGACATACCTGCTCGCGGGCGAGGACACGGAGCTGAAGGTGTACGATGGTGAGGGCCGGCTGCGGTGCCAGCTCGGGATTTTCCACGCCCAGCCCATCCACGGCATTCATGTCGCCGCCGCCGCCGCAGGCGCAGGAGCAGGGCATGGTCAGCGACATGTGCTGCTCTGGGGGAACCAAGCCGTGACCGTCGTTTCTGCTGCCGTCATCGAAGAGCTTATCCTCGGGGGCGAGGACGGGACCGTGGCAGCGGCTGCGGCGGCGCCGGTAGAGATTATCGAGGCCAAGGCGCCGGACTGGATCTACGACGGCGTCATCTGCCCCGAGGACCCGGACCGCGGCGTGCTCATCACGGCGCATAACGAAGTCCTCGAGTTTTCTATCGGGGCTGATGGGAAAACGGTTTCGTTTGGCCGCATTGTGTCGCCGTCCCGGCCGATCCTGTACTCGGCCAACCTGACGTGGCTATCAAAGACTTCTGTGCTCGTAGCCGGCGGCACGGTCTTTGGCGAGATTATTATCTGGAAGTGCCACTTCTCCGGTGACGAAGATGGCACTGCAACTGCCGCTGGAGAGGACGCGGGCCCGAGAAAGCCTTGGTGCGAGGTCCTCTTCGTCTTCACGGGCCACGAGGGCTCCATCTTTGGCGTCGATATCTCGCGCGAGATTGACCTCGGCGGAGGGTGCATGGCAAGGCTGCTTGCGAGTTGCAGCGACGACCGAACGGTTCGCATCTGGGATATCACCGAGAGACCTGGCTCGCCTCGTCTGCAGTATGATGCCTTTGGCGAGGCTAGGGAGACGGGCTTCGGAGGTTCTTCTTCATCTTCATCTTCTGCCCCTGCTGCCCTTGCTGCTACGCCCGCCGCTGCTACAGATCTCACGACAACGCAGGTTGCGTCCAGCGCGCCCCTGGCCATGGTCATGGGCCACATTTCGCGCATCTGGCACGTTAGGTTTCCCATGGGAGGCCTCGACGAGCTGGCGCGGGGCCGCCCCGCGACAGTGTACTCCTTTGGCGAGGACTCCACACTGCAGGCCTGGTCTCTCGACGTCGACCTCGAGGCGTGGCGGCGGAGAGCAGAGTCAGCCACAGTCGAGGGCGGCGAGACGCCCGTCGTCGCTGCGAGCATCACGTACAAGGAGACGTATGCCCGCCACGACGGGAAACACATCTGGGCCACCGCCGTCACGGAGAAGGCGGACGGGCAGGTTCTGGTTGCCACTGGCGGCGCGGATAGCAAAATTAATCTCTTCTCGGACCGTTCGCGCGCGGCTGGCGGCAGCAGCAGCAGCAGCAGCACGGCAGCGTCCAAGCTGCAAGAACTGCCGAGCGAACTGCAGACTTTGGTGATGCGGGACGTGGTCAGCAAGCTACCCCCGCGAAACCCCGACCATGCGATCCCCCTGGAGACGAAGGAGGCCTTTCAGCGTTTCGCGTTCGTGCACGAAGACACCATTGTCGCGACGAGCACCACCGGCCGTCTTCTCGTCGGCTCCTTTGGGCCGGAGCTGACGTGGACGCAGATCGGGACCGACGGGGAGATGTTGCGCGCCCTGAATGCCTGTACAAGCTTGAAGAGTCCGGCGCCGGGCCTGGCGCTGATAGGCACGGCCAACAAGAAGATTCTACTCTACCGCGACTCGACCATCCAGCAAGTCGGCACGGTGCCCGGTAAAGTGGCAGATATATTCCCCCTAAGAAAATCTTGGATAGAGGACGGGGGGGCATCGGACGAGAAGCTCGAGTTCCTCGTCACCATGCTGGGCAGCGGAGACGCCATGCAGATCCTCACACTGGACCTCGATGCCACGGCCGTCACATCCATGATGCCCGTCCCTGAGCTCGACAGCAGATTCGTCGTCACGGCCGCCTGCCAGATCAACGACCTCCTTGTCCTTGGCTCGCGTCACGGCTATGTGTCCGTCTTCCGCCGCGCGGTGGGAGATAAGCAGCAGCAGCAGCAGCTCATTCCGTTCCCAGCACCGGACCGCCGCTCCGGCGACGCAATCACATCCATCAACGTCTTCCCCACCTCATCTACTACCTCTGGTGCGGCGGCATCACACATCATCACGACGAGCCGCGACGGAAACTATCGCGTCTACGAGACCTCCGCCTCCGCCATCCACCTGCGCCACGAGACGGCGCCCGCGGCGGTGCCGAACCTCGAAGACGCGTGGCTTTCTGATGGCAGCGATGACCTGATTCTCTGCGGCTTCCGTAGCAAGAACTTCATCGTGTGGAACGAGACGCGGCACGAGGAGATCCTCCGCGTCGACTGCGGCGGCGCGCACCGCGCCTTTGCCTACACCCGGCAAGGTCACCAAAACAGCAACAGGGACCGAGACCGAGACCATGGTATGCGCTTCGTCTTCAACAAAGCCGCCACCTTGGGAGTCTACACCCAGCACAGCCCCTCCGTCGCCGCAATCCACCACCGCACCCTTAAGCGCGGGTCCCACGGCCGCGAGGTCCGCGCCATTGCGTATTCTGGGCACTCTGAGCGTCGTCGTCGCTACATCGCCACCGGCTCCGAGGATACTTCGATTCGCATCTGGGAGTACACCACGGCCGGCGCCACGGGAGCTTCATCCTCGCCTGATGAAAGACGGGAGCTGCGCTGCGTCAAGGTCGTCAAGGTCCATACCGCAGGCTTACAGGCCCTCAAGTGGCTCGGCGAGGACCTGCTCTTCAGCTGCAGCGGGAACGAGGAGTTCATGGTCTGGCGGGCGTGCGATCTCGGCGATAGGGGGTTGGGTTTGATGCGCGAGGCCGTGTTTGCGGATAAGAGCGAGGACGGAGACCTTCGGATCACGAGCTTCGACGTTGTGGTGTTGGACAAGGAAGAGAGTGGTAGCGGCAGCGTCGCTGTCACTATGGCCTTTTCCAACTCGTTCGTCAAGACGTTCCTGTATACACCCGGCCAAGGCTTCGAGTTACTCTTCAAGGGCCAGTACACGGGCGCCTGCCTGACGCAAGCGCGGCACCTTCGGGTCCGGGAGGGTATGTTTGACGTCATTACGGCCGCGACGGACGGGTGTCTTGCAGTCTGGCGTTCTCAAGGGTCCGAGTACGTTCTTCGGCACACGGAGCGGATTCACCAGAGTAGTATCAAGGCCCTCGACGTGCATGTCACGTCCGATGACCGGGTTGTGGTCCTTACTGGCGGCGACGATAACGCGCTAGGCATCGTCACGCTCGTTTCACGAAGCAGCAGCAACAACTCTGATACCCATGGCGGCGATTTCGAGCCCGTGACGAGAGCCGGTGTCAGGAAAGCGCATGCGGCGGCGATCAACGGGCTCACGGTCCTCGGAGAGGCGGCGACGGCGACGGGACGAGGAGGCAGCCCGGTGGACTTTGTGACGGTCAGTAATGACCAGCGGGTCAAGATGTGGCGGCTCGGGTGGCGCGAGGGGGTGGAGGAGGTTACGTTGCTGGCGGACGAGTATAGCGGCGTCGCGGATGCCGGGGACGTTGAGATTATTGGCGATGGCAAGGTTGCCGTCGGTGGTGTTGGGCTGGAGGTTTGGGATTGGAGGTCTTGAGGGGTCTGGAAATGGAAACAAAAAGGGGGCCTCAAGTGATGGGGCATTACATGGCTAGATAAAAATAGAGATGAAGTAGATGATGAGCCTGATATAATGAAGCTATGTTGAAGCCTTTCTTCCCCGCAGGGACTTGTGTATGGAGTCGTGCCACCATCAACATATACTCGCATTGGCAAGGACGACAACAGATGTCACAGCTATTGTTGAAGTAAGGTAGTAGGCAAATAGTCTATCCTACCAATCCTGCATTCTCGGTCAGGTTTCGTCTACTCAATGGCGACCACAGCTTCCCTTGATGTCTTTTCGCCGAGCATCTAAAATTCTCGCGTCGGCTTTCATCTTCCACTACCTACCGTAGGCCGGGGTCAAGCCGCTAATCCATCACATGTAGGCCTGCCTATGTGTCAGGAACTTCTGTTTAAGCCTCGTGCCGAATGATCTCTAGACCAGACCAGCCAAGTGTTCCCGACTTATGATAATGACAGCCGTAGTGGCGTATTTCAGAACACCTAAGCGAGCATAAATACCGCGAAGCTGTTCAATGGTTGGGCACCCGTTCGAGCATCTCGACTCTAAGCAGGGTAGTTCTATTCCACTGTCGTCTCTCTCTACTTCATATGAAATACTGGATATCCGTACAGGTATATATACGGATGTCTGATAAAAAGTACTGTCGTTTGGTGCCGTCGTTCAGTGCCGTTTCACGTTGCCAATTCCAGCCGTACCTAGTACGCCCGTCACCTTGTGCTACCACACAGCTTTACGGCGATTTACAACGGGCATACTATGGGCTGTCAGAGAAGAAGATGAGGATGACAATGCGTTCTTATATTTATAGCTCTGGAAGTGATGTTATCTATTTCCTACATGATGGTCTATACGAAATCCAACATCGTACCCCCGAGCTCAGTTCAAGTCAGGAGCATTTCTCACATCTTCAATCTTTGATAGTCATAGATACTTCATCTCTAGAGCCTACCTTGACAAGTCATCATAATCCGCAGTTGCATAAGATCTGCATTCTTAACATCCTCTACGCCATAATAGCCCGCCTCCTGTCTGTGGACTTCTCGTTTCTTCAGGATTTCAGCATACCGCAACAATGGCAATAAGTCAAAGTGAAATGGGGAAAGCAATACGAGAGAATTTGAAGGATTGAGACTCTTTGGATGCTGCAGGCAAGTAGATATCAGAAGCACAAATGCCCGCGTAGCAGCAATAAGATCCCAACGGAAAGACCCCACAGATCATGGAAGTATCACATAAATTGTGAGTAAGTGGATTGAGTCTATAAGACGCAGGAGCTGCTCTCAGTAGTTCAATTTTAGAAGCACCTTGGGAGAAACCGCCTTCTCCCTCCTTTCCCTCACTATTGCGGGCTTCGAAGATGCGGGAAAGGAACGCAGGTCCGTTTCCACATGGCTTTCAGCCTCGACACTCTTGGGCATACCATACGATATTGACCATTGTATCGGCTCAGGGATCAGATGCGCATCGTGTTCAACCACCTGGCAGGCATGAGCTCTAGTGCCCAACGTCCTTAACGACTACCTGACACGGAAGTAAGTTAATGGTGTAGACGCCATCATACTGTACAAGGCATCCAGAAGGAAGAGACGACCGATCGATCCAAAGTCTCGTCTGTAAAAAGAAGGAAGAAGTAGTAGCGCTAAAATGACTACAACAATCATCCGTTGTGAATCCACCTTAGTTTCTGTTGTCTCATCTATCGTCGAATCGGAAGGTTTCCAAACTTAATGGATCCCTCCACTGCATTTTCAACATCCCCAGGAGGGCAGCATGCCCATCATCACGCCACGCACGTGACAGAGACATTATTGATGTTCCCCTTGTAGCACAGTAAACCTTGAACCGGCGATTATATGTCATCCTGCGCCTAAGTATACAGCATCTGATAGATATCCCGCAATATAAAGATGCCCAAAAAAACAAAAAAAAAAAGAGTCCTTGCTGGGTATTTTCCCCGATGCGAACCAAAATGAAAAACGAACCACGCTATGCAGCCCAAAGACCACCATATCTCTTTCTCTTCTCCCTTCTTGTCCTTGCCAAAGATCTAGTTGTTCCTCTCACGAGCCCCTCGTAATATTTGGCCCCGTACCGATGCCCGTCAGCGTCCGGACGAACCAGTGCGCCCAGCTCTCCGTCTCGAGCGTCGCCTTGAGCTCCTCGGCGCGCTTCTCCACGTCCTCGACCTGTCTCTCAAACAGCCTGACGCCGTCCTCTACGTCGTCCACTTTGCTCACGAGCCCGTTAATTTCGTACTCGAGTCGTGCCACGAGGACCTCGACCTCCTTAATGGCCTCGGTAATGTGCGCACGCTCTTCGGCGATGAGCTCCGTCGAGCTCTGCTTGACGCGATGATAGGCCTCGCTGAGCTGGTAGTAAAGGTTTTGCAAGTCCTCTTGCTCGCGGCCGTAGTGCTCGTCGAGGGCGTCTACGGCCTTGACCTTTGACTCAACCCAGGGGTTGACCTCGCGCTTGATGGTGGCGATTGAATCGTACAAGCTTCGGGCGAACTCGGCCAGGCTAGCCTGCTGCTGCAGCGCATCAGCGGTAGAGAAGTGCTTGTCGTCGTACAGTTCGGTAATTTCCTCCCATCTGAGAACCGCTTCTTCGGCGTCTCCAAATGACAGCCGCCGAGGCCAGCGGGCTTCGTTCAAGGGATGCTTATACCTGAGTCTGGAGACAGCGACACTGTGTCGCCGCTGGAGGAAGCTGACAGCCGTGTTGCTGGTTCGTTCTGCTTCAAAAGGACCTTGGAGATCGGCCTCATCAACCACAGACCCTGCCACAGATGTTTGTATCCGATCAGGCTCGTCTTTGACTGGACCATTAGGGGGTGTTGAGAATTTCTCTGCCTCGACATGTGTCGAGCTCGGGTCTGAAGACTCGCGCGTAGGCTTGGCAATCACGGGAACCTTCTCAAGCTCCTGCGATGATTCTCTCAGATCCTGAGCAGCTTCTGCCTCTTTCTTGAAGGCATTCAGGTACTCCTCCGGCTTATTCTTCCATGTGAAGGCCCTACCAACCATGACAGGAGACGACAACGTTGCCGAAGACTGCGCCAAAGCTGAGATGCCGGGAGCGCTGTTGTAGCCATTTTCACCAAAATCGTCTCTACTAGGGCGACTCGCGTGACCCCTTAGGCCGGTACCAACAACGTCTTTGATGCGCCCAAGGCCAGACTTGGCATCACTAACTCTGCCAGCAACCGATTTGAAGACTGTCTTCCTAAGCGCGTCTTTCTCTCCCGATCCTTCAACCACACTAACAGCTGAGGCAGGCGCTGGGGTTGAGTATACGCCAGGTGACTCTTCCTTTTGTCTCTGAAGCTCCTCTTCCAGCGGCAACGATTGTGTTCGCTTGCTAGACGGCAGTGCAACCTCATCTTTTCCGAAGAGTGGCTGCGCCACGTCTGTCGGCTTCTCCTGTAGTTCCGGCGCTGCTCTCCTGGGCTTCCCGTACCAGAGCCATTTTGCGCGCTCGCCGTACGCCAGGGCAATAAACTTGTCAATGTCTACTGTCTCGATATCAGCTATGCCGGCTTTGTCTTTCCCACCGACCATGCCGATGACAAGCTCGCCCCTTTTCCCGCCAATTTCGGCGACGGTGGACTTGACCGCCTTCTGCACGCCCCAGCCTTCACCGGCAGCAGCCTTTGCCGTGACAGAATGAAGCTTGAGAATTGTCGGACGATCCAGCCGTCTCGTCCGCTCAAGCTTGTACGCCTTCTGGAAGTACCCGATGCCCCTTTTTGTGCTTTCAATGTCAAAGACGTCCTTGGACACAGGCGCGCCGTAGTAGTGCAGTCGATTTCTGGCGCCCATCAATAGCCCAAGCAGGGCTGCCGTTGTCGTCGGACCCAAGATACCGTCGGTAGGCTCAACATTGTAGCACTCGGCACCAATCTCTGTCCACCAGTTTCCGATAGACTCTTCAGTCTTATCGCAAAGTAAGCCATCAATGTATTCCATGTCCAGTTTCCCAAACATAAAGAGAGAGACTTGGCATAATTTGACAAGCTCCACTGCCGACTGGGTAAAGGGAACCTTCTCGCTTGTCCTGTACAGCTGGTAAAATTTGGCCTGGGTTGCAGGTGTGGGGTCTGAAAGATTCATGCCAGATCGGCCAGAGCATCCCAGTCGCTTCAGGTTCTCGTTGACGATGAAGGCCTGACGGTGGGTGCGGATATCGCCCTCGGGTACGGGTATGACTGTCAGAGCTGACGGGAAGCTGCTGAGGTTCGTGACCATCACGTCGCCCAACGGCGTTTCCTTCGGACGAGCATGGTACTGATGGATGGCCCTGAAGTAGAATCGCAAGCGGTCGGACCATACGCTCTCGTCCGCAGGGACGGCCAGCACCCCAACAACGACCTGATGCTTCGGGTCACCCGTGTACGTGACAATGACCAGTGTTGGCGATTTCCGCGAACATGCCCATTGTTCGACTAGGTATAGCTCGTATCCCTGCAAGATTCCTCGTCGCTCGAGGACCGTGACCGCCGGATCGCTTTCTAGGTATCTTGGAGACTATTAGTACGCGGGCTCGTCTCGAAATCGGGAACAGGAGAGCTCACCTAAAGGCTACAGGATCGGCGAATACCCATTTCCTCTTCGTCGTCGGTAAGGGGGAGGGTGTCGCGGGTTCGGTAGAGGCCTCCTTTCGCGCCTCAAGCGGTAAAGGTGTGCTCAGGGGAGAAGGTCCATTGACACCTCGCTGAGAAGCGACTCTCGCCAGAGTCAGTTCCTCCTCGCGATGCATTCGCGGATCGTTGACGGGAAAGGGAAAGCGGAATGACATCTCCATTTGCAGGAGTGCGGCGGTGAAACTTGGTGCATCGACGACACTTTTGGAGGCGCCTGCGACTATCTCCAAGACGAAGAAGTCATAGTCGTCGTACTTATTCGCCTAAAGGGGAGTTTCGACGCAATCAAAGAAACGTCCAGCGGGTGCTCTGCATGTGACTGGAAGGGGGCGTATTCGTCGGGTTGCTTCGTTCGCGCTTCGAATGTTCTCCCGCTTCGATCGTTTAGGTTGTGTCTTTCTTTCTGTTCGGAGGGCTGGTCGGCATGTGACGCAATGTCCTACCGTCGCTGTCGTGGTTTTGCGTTGGTTGATTGGGCCGGGAGCTGTACGACCAGTACAGAAAGAAGGGTAGCACGAAATCGAGCGGTACTGCGGCAGACGCTAATATTCCCCATCCCCACGTCTGTAATGGCCCAGATCTGCCGAGCTAAATCCCCCTGCCCCTCCATGCTTTCAGGCCTCCCCTCGCTAAACCATCGCTCAAAATCCCGGGCCGCTGTTTCGCCGGCAGGTCGATCCAGTGCTACAAGACCGGGACATTGTTACACTGGCAGCGGCTACAGCAGGCACAGCGTACTGGAGTGGAGGCTCCTAGGTACCCCAATGCCTGAGATAGGTGCGGGTGCCCGCCGGACGCTTTATCAGTGAACCCGCCAACCGAGGAACCTTAGCTTCCATTATCGGTGATGGCCTGGTCGGTCTGTGCCTACCTCAACTTCATCCTTCAACCTCCAAAGCAGGACCATCGGACAACCAAGCCTGCGCCGTGAACCCCCATCCGACAAACAGTAACAGCAGTCCTTCCCATAACCAACCCGAGCTTTTATGGGGAGCCCGTAGCCATGATCTTCCCGTCATAATCTCCCGAATCTCGAGCTACACGCAAGCAAACATACTATACATTCGCTCACTTATCACGACATACGAATATACCCTCCTCTCCTCCCGCATCCCGCCACCACCATGGCAGAACAAAACCCCATGGTCACCCTCCAGGCGGAGCTCTCGCGCTTCCGCAGAGCGACACTCAACTCAGCCGTCAAAGACACCGACAAGCTTCTCGACCTTCTCATCCAGGCGAGGGAGCAAGTTGCCAATGGTATGTCACTTGCCCCGCTCCATGCTGCCGCCACAGGTCGTGTGCTCACAGTGATGCCGCACGCCAGATCCACACCGGGCAGGCTTGACGATGGCCAAGCTACAGAACCCCGTCACCGCGGGGTTTGACGCCATAAACAACGACTTGAAAGAGGTCTCAAAAGCCCAAAAGACGTTTGGCAAGGCCCTTGATAAGGTATGCGTCCAAACAACCATCTCCCGTCACAGAACGAACCTCGACTTACACCCATTTCTCTAGTCCTTCCCCCTTCGACCACTCTCAACAGACTACGATGCCATGGCCGCGTATCCCTCTTTAATCAACCGCGCTGTAGCGATGCACATGCTCCGCGAGGGCCAATTCAGCGTGGCCTCGACTTTCCTCCGCGAAGCTCACGAGCGACCTCCGCCACTTTCCGCCAATAACCCAGCCCTCGATGCGGATATACACTCTCTTCAGTCTCAGGAGCTGCAGGACAAGTTTGCGAGCATGTACAAGATCCTCAACGAGCTCAAGAATAGGAACCTCGTTCCAGCTATAGACTGGGCGCGTCTCAACAGCGACGAGCTCGAAGCCCGCGGTTCCAACCTCGAGTTCGAGCTCAGCAAACTCCAGTTCGTCTGGCTCTTCAAGGGTCCCGAAGTCAATGGCCTTCCGGACGACGAGCGCAACGGAAGGATAGGTGCCCTCGCCTACGCACAAAGACACTTTGGCCGCTTCCAGACCCGCCATATCAAGGAGATCCAGCAGCTGTCTTGCGCCATGGTCTACGCATCCAACATCGGCCAGTCGCCATATGCCAACATCTTCGAGACATCTGCAGCTTTTGACGACGTCGCCCTATCCTTCACGCGCGAGTTCTGTTCTCTTCTCGGCCTCTCGGCCGAATCACCACTCTACGTCGCCGCTACCGCCGGCGCCATCGCGCTGCCCCAGCTCATTAAGTACACAACATACGTAAAAGCCAAGCGTACTGAATGGACGACGGAAAGCGAACTCGCATTCGAAACGCCGCTACCTCGCAGCATGATCTACCACCCCATTTTCGTCTGCCCCGTGAGCAAAGAGCAAACAACAGAGCAGAACCCGCCAATGATGCTGCCTTGCGGTCACGTCATCTGCAAAGAGTCACTTCAGCGCCTGACTAAGGGCTCCCGCTTCAAGTGTCCATACTGCCCCAACGAGGGCCACATCAAAGATGCTCGTGAGATTAAGTTGTAGGACGAATTGGGCTTCGAGTTGGAGGATAGATGTGAACATTACAAACATCTCATCAACGCACTGGTTTTCCCATGGCGGAAGACGTGCAATAGACAATGGCCTGCATTGCCACTTGCTCGTTAGGTGAGATGGGTAGGTCTGGTACCGGGACGACAGGCGTTGTGGGTTGACGTCTGACGGGTTAAGCTTTCCTCGGTCACCAGGTCACTTTATTCTTTTATTTTGGGCGGCGTTAGGTTTCGGATGCAATCTTGTTTGGTACAGCGATCCGGGTTATTGTTTTGAGTAGGTAGGATAAAGCGATCGTAAATGCAAACGCATGTCAAATACGTGATCAGTTCAGGTTGCATTGGTGTTTGGTTCGCACACCTTGACGAATATCAAGTCAAGGCCGGCGGTTACTGGGCCGAATCAGTAAAGTTAAAGATGAGGCCACAACAATGACCCGGCCGGAGCGGGAGCACAGGAGCGGCGCCGGGTCATCTGGGATGGCAGCGAACGCCTGATGGTAGTGCTCCATCCAGTGTGCATATAGTCTTACAGAGAGGACAAGTCAAACAGTCATTCTTGGATAGAAAATTGGCTTTCGTCATGGTATTTGAATTACCTCATGCTAACGCTAAGTTACACTAAGGAAAGGTATTTTATTGCATCTCGCTGCCCGCGGTAGCCCCGAGGCGGCGCAGATACGTATGGGAAGTCAAAGCCTTTCGACTGCTCCCAGAGCCATCTTAATATCCCATACGGGATCTCGCCGCCGGTGCGACTCTTTACGTAGAAACAGATCCATAACTCCGCCATGTAGGGCCAGTCTTCTTCATCCTCGCTGGGTGGAGAGAGATCAAGCATCGTCAACGCCATAATAGTGTGTATCACACAAGGAAGTCAAAAGAAAAAGTGAAGAAAAAATAACAGCCGATGATGGGGAATCTCAATCAGTCCAACACGCGCCCGGCCCCGCGTGTCCACCGTTCCGTCCGCCTACGATCCCGTAGTGGGTTTTTTTTGTTGGGATAAGAAAGGTGGCGTTGTTTCGTTAAGTCATTTCTTTGTACAATCGAACGGTATCTCTTTGATCGTGCATTGCCTCGTCGGGTCAAGCCAGCTCCACCCCCTCGTTAATCAATCGTCATTCTGCTCGCAATTTGCGGCTTGACATCCTGTAGGTTGATCGAGTTGAGGTCCTGGCTCTTTTCGAGATCGCGTGACGGCTTTCGCAGGTGGGTCTTCAGGCCGGCTCCGAAGTTGCGCATGCAGACCACGCAGTTGGCAATGGTGCAAATGATGAGGAGAATGGTGATGACGGTGAAGGCAGTGAGTGACTTGCGCACTGGCATGTACTGCTCGGCTGTGTGTGGTTGGTAGATACGGACGAGCTTGAAGATGAAGTAGCTCAAGCCGCCAAAGTAGAGGACGAGAACAGTCGCCATGCCGACCTTATTCTCGATTCTGGTGAACCATGCGGCCAAAAGCAAAATGGCGATGGTAATCGGAATCGCAGCAATGGTCAATCCAAATTCGGCGTCGGTGCGGGCGTTAACGATAACCAAGAACTGAACCGTGAAACCGAGGAAAAAGAAGAAATCGAACTTCAGGAGTGCGATATAAATCTAGATGTCATGTTAGCTATGTCAGGGCGATGGTCAGCAGTTCCGCAGACACGTACCTGGTAGTGGAGGAAACGCTTCTTCATTCTGTAGTCGGCTCCTATCGTCTTCAGAATGTCCCAAGCAAAGACTTGGTAGAGTTTCCAGGCAGTCAAGGCCATGGTGATGGTTCCAAAAGCCAAGACGCAGGGGCTTGCGACCAGGTAAGGCTTCACATCGGCCCACATGTCATCGGTCGGGTCCCTGAGAGCATTGTTGTCCTTCAGCTGCTGCACAGCCTCCTCAATCTGTTCGACCTGAATGGCAGTGTAGACGAGTAAAGCGAGATTGGCGATGCACACTCCAATAACTTGAATGGTGTTCTTCGCCCGTAGCGCATCCCAGACGATAACCAATTCGTACAAGAATCCAAAGATAAAGAGCGTCAGGAACGTCGGGATTGTCCTTCTCGGCGAGTCGGTAGCATCCGTGGTTTCTGTGTTTTGATGAGGGTCCTGATCGGTTAAACCAGTCTGGAATTTCCAGAAGACATAACTGCGTCGCTGTTAGTACCGATCAATTCCGAATGCGATGGTGGATTGCCGGCTTACCACTCAAAGCCCAAGCAAAGCAAAGCCTGGACGAGGGTGATGAGGAAAAAGATTCTGGGCCATTTGGCACCCATGAAGCCGAAGCCGAGGGGGCCACTGGCACCACTGCTGGGACGCGATCCGTTCATTGTGGATGGAGCGAGACCTTCGCGAAAAGCGTAGCCTTGGTTGTTTGATGTTTGCGGGGGGTTGTATTGCTGCTGGTATTGTTGCTGATACTGTTGAGCGTATTGGCGGGCGGCGAGTTCTTGGTCGAAGCCGGCAAAGTTCGGGTCACCGCCGAGCAAAGAACGGCGGGAGTCTAGCCTTGTAGCCAGATCGACGGTATTGGCGACTCCCCGGAAGGAGTCGAGATGAGATGATGCTTAAAAGTGGTGGGAAAGCGTCGGATGAGAAGGGAGGCTGGGTGGGTGCGTGTTTGCGTGCCGGAAGGTACTGGATGTCGTGTGTCGGGTTGGGCGATGGTGTGTGAGATGGGCACACAAAGGCGGGCGTCAGCGGCGGCAAGAGGTACAGTCGGATCGAATGGGAGTCCTTCTTTGGGAGGGACGGGAGTGAAAGAGACTCAGAGTGGTCTCGTCTCAATCGTGTGGTCAAGGGATACGGTAGTGTCGAAAGCGAGTGGAGAGCGAGGGAGGACCCCGTCGGCGGGAAATTCGAGAGGGAATCAGGCGCGAATGATCAAAGGAGGAAAGCAAAAGAAAGGGAGGAGAAAGTGACGGGATTAAGTTTTGGATTTCCCTGAAGGACCTGACGGGCACGGAGTAAGGGTTTTTTTGGGTTTTTGGGTTTTGGTTGACAGCAAGGGGCAAAGCTGTTGGAGAAGGAGAGAATGCGAAGATGTTGTTGGTGCGAAGCTGAAACGGGATGAGGAGTTTGATCTGTTCAAAGACGGACAGGGCTCTTGTCTTTTTTTTCCCCTTCTCCTGCTTCTTCGCTGTCTCCGGGTTTGACAGGCGCAAGAATACGTAGTAACGTACGGAGTAGGTAGGGACCTGGCGGGAAGGGGGGGGGGGCGGAGGCAGCAGGCAACGGTACCTTGTGCGCAGCAAGAGACAGCCCAGCGTCTAGGTACCTATCCGATTAAGGTGAGGTGAAAGGTAGGACGGAACACCACGGGCTTGGGGCTTGGGGCTTTCGGGGGGGCAGTGGTTGTGAGAACCAGGGGTGTGCCAGGTGGAAAGAAGGTGCAGGTGCGCAGGTGCAGGAGCCACTGGAGCGTGAGCTGGCTGGGTCCGCTGGGATGGAAGGAGGAAGAGGGGGGTGGAGTCCAAGAGACGCTAAGCGGCAGTGGAGCCAGGACCAAGGACGAAGGACCCAAAAGGACCAGAAGGGAAGGGAAGGGGGGACTACGGGGGTGAGAGAAGAAGGACCTGGGCAGGGAAGGTCGTGGGCGGTGGACGACGGAAGACGGGAAGCGATGACAACCTTGGCAAGTTTTTTCGGGAAAGACGCAAGAGTGTATCCGTACTGCGTAAGGTCGTCAATGGTTCGAGTGAGTTTTGACAATGAGTCAATTGGGTAAAAGAGCGACGTTGTAAGGCGTGGTTTGACGGAGGTTGTTGTTGTTGTAGTCTGTAGGTAGATGTTGATGAGGAAGTTGGTATAAGTGGTGTTGTTATCCGTACCACCAGGCCCAGAAAGAATGAGGGGCCAAGATTGCTTTAGCGGCTCTTTTTCGAAAGTCAGATGCCGGATGTCTGTTGCAATTACTACGTGCGTTGTAGCGCAGATGCGTGGTGAGGTAAGACGGTTCTTCCTTTAGCGTAGGAGGGTCGGGTTGGGGGCTTTCCAAGTCTGTGTGAGATTCGATTCGTTCAGCTGGTCGATCAACTGCTGGTGATGGATTGTGGGTGGTCGAATGAATGGGTGGATGGATTCAACACTGGCTCCTTCAACAGCAGTGATGATGAGGTGGTGAGGTGAGACCCAGGAAGGTGAGCGTGAGGTGTTGTCTTGGAAGTGAGAGGCGTGCAGCGTACGCAGGCTGCAAGTAAGGCGGGTGGATGGTGGGTCGCCGGTGCGGTCTGGTCTGGCCGATAATGGATCGATCAGACACGGATTGAGTGGTTTGCCTGGGAAGATTTTCTTGGTATTACGGAGTTTGTACTATGTTGCGTGGTTGCAGGACTCGGCTGTTTCCTTTTCTCGTATTAGTGCTTTCTGGCGGTCGACCGGTCGACAGTATTTCTTAAAGTCGTTCAGCGACTAATTAGCTTTTGGGGCGTTTGGCGATCAAGAGTAGAAGACGAAGAAGGAGAAGATCCAAACCGGGAACGAAGGATGACGGGAGCATGTGAAGGACTCATAAAGTAGGAATATGACAGTAGCAAGAGGCCTCAATCTTCATAGGTACCTACAGGATCCTAGGTGCCTCTCTTCCATCGATTAATCCAATGTGTCGGCCCCCATATCTTTGGATTGCGTTAGTGCCGGCACAGCACAGCCAGAAAGCCAGTGCCCTCACTTCAGTCTCTCCAGACTTTTCTGCTAGTAACCGTACGCAGTACTCCGTACACTACGGAGACCCGTCCACACCTCAGTACCTAGGTGCCAGGCTTCCCCCCCGATCCAATGCCACCTCGACCAAGGAGAGAGGTTGGTTCTTCCAGGGACAGTAGGGCTGTGCAGAGAACCCGGGCTCCAGGTTGCAGCGGGCTGCGCCAGGAATAGGACCTTCTCGTGGAGATGGTGCGCCCAGCGGCCCTTGTGTGGGTATCGACCGTATCGTGGACCGTCCACTTCTGTTAGTGCAAAACCCAGGATACACTGCATACAACATTGGATGATGGGCCGGGCGGCT